GGCGGGTGGATCACCAGGTCAAGAGATCGAGACCATCCTGGTCAACATGGTGAAACCCCGCCTCTACTAAAACTACAAAAAATTAGCTGGGCATGGTGGTGCATGCCTGTAATCCCAGCTACTCAGGAGGCTGAGGCAGGAGAATTGCCTGAACCCAGGAGGTGGAGGTTGCGGTGAGCCGAGATCGCGCCATTGCACTCCAGCCTGGGTAACAAGAGCGAAACTCCGTCTCAAAAAAAAAAAAAAAAAAAAAAGTAAAAACTCATGAGTTAGCAAGCATGCTAGAAACAAAATAATTCCAATGCAATGAGTAAGACAGGAATATTGACTATAGGATTTAAAGAAATGCCTTTTTATTTTTTTTGAGATGGAGTTTCACTTTTATTGTCCAGGCTAGAGCACAATGGGGCAATCTCGGCTCACTGCAACCTCCGCTTCCCAGGTTCAAGTGATTCTCCTGTCTCAGCCTCCTGTATGGCTGAGATTACAGGCACATGCCACCATGCCTGGTTCATTTTTGTATTTTTAGTAAAGAAGGGGTTTCACCATGTTGGTAAGACTGGTCTTGTACTCCTGACATCAGGTGAGCCACTATGCCTGGTCAAGAAATGCCATATTTTTAATATACTAGACTAAGAAAATAACTCAGTAAAATATATGTAATGAGAGCAAAAATAAGATCGCTTGCTGTTAAAGAGAACAGAACCTTTAAATTATGGGTGTTTATCAGTTCCAGAAATTGCTTAAATTAGGTGACTTCACCACCTAATTTATTGTTTCATAATTTATGTATACATCGTGCATATTTTATATATCAAATGGTTCATAACAAAAACATTGAAACATTTCCTTATGTTTTCGATGGTTGGTTCAGCTGGTGAGTACCAGTTTTATGGCCCTTTTACAATCAGCAAGTCATATTACTAACAGTTTCTTCATTAACATAAGAAGTCTGAACATTTAATCCTAGAAGAATCCAAATTCATGGCTTATTGAAATCATCGTATTGTTCAACAGATATCTATTGATTATCTTCTATTTGCTCAACACTAAAAAATTGTTTCCTTACTCTTTCATTAAACAACATGTCTCTTTTGATAAAGCATAAAAGCCTCACATTTTCCTTTATATTTGAAATTTCAGTAAGTTAAGTGTCATAGCTTTTAAAAATGTCTCTATGGGACAAAGAGGTGTTTTGTTTTCAATTACTACCTCTCTTTCCTTGGAAATCACTGCTTAAGAACCTTAGAAAAAAAAGTAAGATAATGCTTGTGCACAAAGTGCTTATGATTTAAATCATAGTGATAATGCTTAATGATGAATTAAGACTAAGGGGTATACTCTAAGGTTAATGGAACGTTAGAGATGAAGGAATGACCAATAGCTGGAAGCAGTGGCTTTTAAAATTTTTATTTTTGAGATGCAGTCTCTGTTGCCAAGGCTGGGGTGCAGTGGCACGCTCACAGCTCACTGCAGCCTCAACCTCCCTGGGCTCAGGTGATCCTCCTGCCCCCAGCTAATTTTTGTATTTTTTTGTAAAGATGGCGTTTTTGCCATGATGCTAAGGCTGTTTGTGAATTCCAAAGCGCTGAGGTTACAGGTGTGAGTCACGCCTGGCCAGCAGTGGCTTTATGGAACGTGGTTAAGACTTGAACTGAAGCACAGGGAGATAAGAAGGAAAATCCTGGTGGCAGACAGCCAGTAAACTCTCCATGGTTAGAGTGACCACAGGACAGTGAAGAGTTGGGAGTGATGCCCTGATACACAGCATCACTCAAGTTTTTTAAACCAGGTTAAGCAAGATCAGTTTGGTGGCAGATGTAGAACAGAAAGGAGCAGGAAATTTTGAAGGCCTGTCTAGGGCAGCAGAAGTGGGTCAGGGCAAAGCATGCTTTGATCTCTTCTAGAATGAGCTAACCGACCTCCCAGTGATTTCTGATTTGGAAGGCAGTCCTTTGGCAAATCATCTGATGTACTGTAGGCATTGTTATTTCTCTTCTCTGTTATTTGAATTTGTGTTTGTTTATATTTTGCTTCTTGCTCTGTGGCCCAGGCTGGAGTGCAGTGGTGCAATCACAGCTCACTGCAGCCTTGACCTCCTGAGCTCAAAGAATCCTCCCATCTCAGCCTCCCAAGTAGCCTGGACTGCAGGCATGCACCCCCATGCCTGGCTAATTAAAAAAATTTTTTTGGGCCAGGCGTGGTGGCTCATGCCTGTAATCCCACCACCTTGGGAGGCTGAGGCTGGTGCATCACGAAGTCAAGAGATCAAGACCATCCTGGCCAACATGGTGAAACCCTGTCTCTGCTAAAAATACAAAAAATCAGCTGGGCATGGTGGTGGGCACTTGTAATCCCAACTACTTGGAAGGCTGAGGCAGGAGAATCGCTTGAACCTGGGAGGCAGAGGTTGCAGTGAGCAGAGATCACGCCACTGCACTCCAGCCTGGGGGAAAGAGCAAGACTCTGTCTCAAAAAGAAAAAAAAAATTTTTTTTTGTATAGATGAGGTCTCACTATGTTGCCTAGGCTAGTCTTGAACTTCTGGGCTCAAATGTTCCTACGGTCTTGGCCTCCTAAAGTGCTGGGAGGTATGTGTCACTGTGTGTGGTCTATATCTTGTTTTTTAACTGGATATCCAATCTTTGAGGGTGGGTACCATGCAGCATCTTGTAGAGTAGGGGTCAATAAATGTGATTTCGATGCACAGGTAGCTGACAGTGTCTGCAGGAACACTTGGCAGCCAGCACCTGGTAGGTGGCTGCCTATGAGAGCAGGAGGGGAGGACACGTGTCAAAGGTAATTTCCTGTATAGACTTCTGAGAGAATGATGGCCTCACTGTCACAGACAGAAGCATCGGAGCGGAGGAGGAGCTGGGGTTGTGGAGAGAAAGTTATGAGTTTAGCTTTGAACATTCTCAGTTTGAGGTGAAAGTGAGACATTCAAGAGAAATTCATAGTGTTTAAGGATATAGAACAAGGCTGGGTGCAGTGGCTCACACCTGTAATTCCAGCACTTTGGGAGGCCAAGGCAGATGGATCATTTGAGGTCAGGAGTTTTAGACCAGCCTGGCCAACATGATGAAACCCCATGTCTACTAAAAATACAAAAAAATTGGCCGGGCGCGGTGGCTCAAGCCTGTAATCCCAGCACTTTGGGAGGCCGAGGCGGGTGGATCACGAGGGCAAGAGATCGAGACCATCCTGGTCAACATGGTGAAACCCCGTCTCTACTAAAAATACAAAAAATTAGCTGGGCATGGTGGCGTGTGCCTGTAATCCCAGCTACTGAGGAGGCTGAGGCAGGAGAATTGCCTGAACCCAAGAGGCGGAGGTTGTGGTGAGCCGAGATCGCGCCATTGCACTCCAGCCTGGGTAACATGAGTGAAACTCCGTCTCAAAAAAAAAAAAAAAAAAACAAAAAAGTTAGCCAGGTGTGGTGGCACGGACCTGTAGTTCCTGCTACTAGGGAGGCTGAGGCAGGAGAATAGCTTGAACCCAGGAGGTGGAGGTTGTGGTGAACTGAGATCATTGAGATCATGCCAATGCACTCCAGCCTGGGTGACAAGAGTGAAATTTCATCTTAAAAAAAAAAAAAGGCTATAGAACAAGAACTCAGGTGACAGGAGAGAACTAGAGATTTTGGATTGAGTTTGGAGATAAGGGCTGACATTGCAGAATGCTGAGTTTCCAGCTTCTGAAGCAAAGCTCAGGGAACCAAAAACTGAAAAGAAACCCTGAAGCTGCACTGTCCAATATGATAGCCACTAGTCTCATGGGGCCATGCACATTTAACTTTAATTAAAATAAAAAACTTCAGTTCTGACTCAGTCACACTAGCCACATTTCCAGTTCCTAATGGTCACATGTGGTTAGTGGCTACGGTAATAGGCAGTGCACACACAGAATATTTCCATCATCACAGGTAGATTTTTTATGGGACCGCAGTGTAAAGATACAAATAAATATATATTTGAGAGAAAACCAGAAACCTGATGTTTCAAGGGAGGAGAGAGTGTTAAGGAGGAAATGTTGACAGTGTCAAATGCTGGGATTGGGTGTAGAATTCTATTAGGAGAGCAGCAGGAAGACAGCAAGTTAGAGACTTTGGACAAGGAAAGGGAGAAAGGGACAAGAAAAAAGATAGTAGCTAGAGACAACCACAGTCACATGGAGGATTTTTAAAGACAGGAAGGAATGTTTATCCTTCAAACATAACAACGTTTGAAGACAAATGGACAAAGGCCTGTGAAGATGTTAAGAGTCCCCATATCCAAGCCTGCCCTTGCTTCTCTCTGTAGCTCGAGGCTCAATTTGATAATAGTCTGTTGGCGATCCATCTTATGGAAGTCCTGTGAGCGCCTCCAGCTCAGCACATCTAAGACCAAACTCATGATGGCCCACCCCTTACTCATGCTCCTTTAAAATCCTTTACTTCAGTTCATCTTTCCAGTTACTAAAAGCTGGGAAACTCAGTCATATTTGAATCATTCTCTCTTGCCTCTCTCTTTGATCAGTTACCTGGGGATACTTATTTTACTACAGTACTTCTATCAGGTACTTTTTTTTTTTTTTAAGTTTAAAATAATGCTCGTATTTCAGGCAAAGAGAACAATATAGAGAATACAGTAATAATACACTCAGCCTAGCTTAAGTAAAACTTGCAAATGTAAACAAAGCCCATGGGAAACTCATTCAAATCCCATTCTCCTCTTCATACCAAGGGTAATCACCATTTTTAAATATAGCACTTATCATTCCTTTGCAATTACAGTGTTACTACATATGTATATATCCATATATAGTATAGAATATCATTTGGTACATTTAAAAACTTTATATAAAGTAACGTTTATTCTTCTATAGCTAACCTTTCTCACACAATATTATCTGAGATTTATCCATGACAGTCATCTTTTCATTTATATTCTGTTTATATATTAATGCATGTCTACTATACATATATACGTATGTATATATAGATTATACATGTATGTGTATAGATTATACACATATGTGTGTATAATTGCATTTTTTATTCTAGCTGTTTGGATGGAATGGAGTGATGACATGGTGTAGCACTCAGCCATTTTAGGGGGAGCTGCAAAAATTCTGTTCCTTAAAGGCAGGTAAAAACTGCTTTCAGTATTTTCTACAGTACAATACGATCTTCTCTTGGCATCATCATTATTTTTCCCTTTTATCTCTTCTAACTAGGTTCTGGGTATCGTTGACTCTCTTGAGATTAGTTGATGTATGTGTATGTCTGGTTTATATGACCAGAGAAAATAAACAAATTCTATTATAAAATTGAATCATCAAGTATGAATACACTCCATGCTGAAGGTTGTTGCTACTCATTTAAGCACATCACGCTTTAATGGCTTCAGGTTTTTTATTACTATTATTTTTGAGAAAGAGAAGAAATATGAGTGTATTTAATGTAAACTAGAATGTTTCTGAAGTGTGATAGTCATTATGTAGTAGAACAAGTTAAGATCCTTGAAATCCAGTGTGAACAGATTAAAGAGATCTCAGATGGTTAAAAGTAAGGTCACAATCATAGAAACAAAGGTTAAGATCCTTGAAATCCAGTGTGAACAGATTAAAGAGATCTCAGATGGTTAAAAGTAAGGTCACAATCATAGAAACAAAGGTTATGTTCTTGAGACATTAATTTCGGTTGAATGATATAGAATTGCCACCTTTTAAGATAAAAAACAGTCACGTATTGGCAATTTCAAATGGTCCACTTGATAGATGTTCAGGAGGGAAGGAATGCAGAAGGGAGTGTGAAGGAAAGAGCGCAGGTCTTCAGGTGTTGTGCCATTAGCCAGGGCCATCACTGTTTAATACTGAATGGCTGAGCTCTTGCAGATGTAGATCAAGCAATATTTAGTTGTCTCTTCTCTTTGGAAGAAAGGGGTTGCAAAATATTCCACATCAGCAGGTGTATAGAAGCCTTCGGGGATTTTTCACCATCATCACATTTCCAAAGGATTTAAGAAAGCTTACAAAAATATATGACATTTTTAAAAGTGAGGAAATCGAGGATATGGGTAAATAGTGACATCCAGATCTCCTAACATAATGTAAACAGCACAGAACTTCCTCAAATCGTTTTGGAAAAGAAAGTATAAATAATATCCAGTACTGTGATTCTCTCCCTGTTAAGCAATTACAATTTTGAGTTTCTATGTAAATGTAGCAGTGGTGCCATTGAGAGGCAGCCTTCTATTTAGAATACGTCTTTTAATTAAATTGTATTTCAAGACTTGACTACAATACTGAAATAGCTAGAACAACTTTCAAGAGACTACCTTCATTGTCAACCATTTTTTAAAGATACTACTTCATGATAAGAACTCAAGTATGGTCTAAAAGGGTTCTCTGAATCTGACTAAAGTAGTGTATGCTTTTGGTACATGCATCTTTTGTTGTTAAAAAATTTAAAAATTGATACATAGTATTTGTACATGTTTATGAGGTACATGTATTTTGAAACATGCAGTGGGTAATGATCAAATCAGAGTGTTTAGGGTATCTATCACTTTGGACATTTTTTTTTGCCCCCTCTCCCCTGTCACCTTGAACATTTATCATTTCTTGTGTTGGGAACATTTTCAAAGCTTCCCTTCTAGTTATTTTGAAATATACAATATGTTGCTATTAACTATAGTCACCCTACTGCGCTATTAAACACTAGAACTTATTCCTTCTAAGTAACCGTATATTTGTACCAATTAACCAATCTCTCTTTATCACCCAACCTACATATGTGGGTGGGGTGATAGAAGCATTGCATCAAAAGCAGTATAGTTAGTTCAGGTAGGTTTTAAAAATATTTTTTAGACAGAGTCTCACTCTGGTTGGAGTGCAGTGGTGTGATCTCGGTTCACTGCAACCTCCACCTCCCAGGTTCAAGTGATTCTCCTGCTTCAGTCTCCCAAGTAGCTGGGATTACATGTGTGCCCCAACATGCCTGGCTAATTTTTGTATTTCAAGTAGAGACAGGGTTTCACCATGGGGAGCACGCTGGTCTCGAACTTCTGATCTCAAGTGATCTGCCTTCCTCGGCCTCCCAAAGTGCTGGGATTACAGGTGTGAGCCACGGCGCCCGGCTCGGTTATTTTTCTCATAAGTTTTTTGCTTGTCAAAATGGTCTATGGACATGCCGCCCCCACGCCCCCCAAAAAGAAAGAAAAAAGACAATGTCTCATATCAATTGCCAATTACTATCAATGAAGAAATGAATTTAATCCCTGTGGCCAAGTACTTTGCTCTTTAGGTAGCTGGATTAATGCTTTGCAAAAAGGGCATGGCAATAGTGTACTTATACCCACAGAACATATCCCCACTCCTGAAAAAAAAAAACACCTGAAAATGCCTGAAATATTCTTTCAAGGGAAAGAGCTACTTTCCATCCAATATATCCAGGCAGGAAGAGTGATAATAGTGACTTCCTCTCTCCCTGTCCACTGATTTTCACCTGTCCTGCTCTTCAAAGCACCCATGTCTTTTTTTCCATCATCCCACCCCAAATCAGGGTTTTTGTGACTTTTATTTCCTTAAAAGTTTTTGTTGTAAAATAGTACACCATTTATACTATGCAACTTTGAAAGTGATTTTTCCACTTAAATATGAGATCACAAGGACTTACTATTAGAAGAGATGAGCCCTATTCTTAGACTCAGAATTTTGAGTCTCATTTCCGCATGTTCGTGGTTTTTAGGTCAATTCCCTGGAAATTCGATCTTTCTACAATTAAGAGCAAAGTAACCATACAATGTTTCTGATCCTGTGAGCATAGGCGGTTAAGTGCTTTGGCACTGGGATGCATACTCACTATCTCACAAATGGATTACCTATTAAGTTAGTGCACACGAAATCTAGTTAAAGTGCTTGGACTTCACAACCTTGTCCACTAACATAACATCACATATCACACAAAATATAATAATCACAGTAATGGGAAGTCAGATTTCTAAAAAAGAGTTTTTGTGGACAGTATTTCCACGTCTTGAATTTAACTTCTTTCTTGGCAACTATACCTGAGGGTAACAGGCAGAGACATCTCTTAGTTGGCAAAACACAGACATAAAACCTGGCATTTTCCCCCAGGATGACAGCAAGGTATCAAGGATGCCAAAGAGGGAAGCAGTGTTAACCTAATCCAATACGTGAAACAAGATTGTAAAATACAACAAAAATGTTCCAGTGGGGGAAAAAAGGTACTTCACCGGTTCAGGACTTAAAAAATATTGGCAATGGTTGATGGGTTTGATTCAGGAGGTATCTGACTTGGTACCAGGAGGATTAAGAGGGCGGGAATAATACTTTTGCAGCAAAATGATTGTGTGACTGATTTTTTAAAAAATAGAATTCTGCCCCATTGAATACCTGTACACTGCACAAATAAAATGAAATTCAAGTCCTTGTTTTGGTGCCACTGGCCAGAATTAAAGCTCTCCTTCCGGATGTGAGATAACATATTTCTTTTTTGCTTTAAATGCCTCCCTCCAGGGTACGTGAAAGTGGGAGATTGGTAAGCTGAGGCTAAGGGGGATGGCTGTGACTGAGAATCTGAGAGCTAAATGTGTGAGAGAAAATCCTCCTCCAGCCTCGGAGGGGGTGTCTCCCCTAATACCAGCTCCCTCCCCCCGGGCTCGTGGGGCGGGTCTGGTTTGTTCAGTAGCGACAGCGGCCGCAACAGCAGCCCCGGGGCTGAGCGGCGGTGGCCTCCTGGCAGCGCAGGGAAACGGCGGCTCCAAGAGCGCGAGGCCCTGGGGAGATCCGGCCGAGGCTGCCGCCGAGATGGAGGAAGCGTCGAGTGGAGCCGGAGTCACCGGGGACGAATTTCCTCCCCAGCTCAGCTCCCCCACAGCTTGGTTAGGCCTGCTCCGAGCGCCTGCGAGGTGGAAGAGGCCTGCGCCTCGGGCCTGGCAGCCGCAACCGACGAGAGAGGCGGGCACAGCGGGGTAACCGGCGAGCCGTAGCCGCTCTCGGGAACCTACGCTGCCACGGCCGCTCATTGTCTCTCCCCTTCCACCCGGGGGGCAAACAGGAAGCGCGCCGCCTGGCAGAGCGACGGACAGGCGCCTGGACCAATGAGCACAGCAGATGGAGAGAGCGGCGGCGAATGAGGACCAAGAAGAGGGGCGGGAGTTCCGGGCGGGCTGTCACCCTCTTCCCCCCTTTTGGGCTGGAGGCTCCACCTTTTGTGTTTCCCGCACAGTCAATCAAAATAGGAAAAAAAAATCCCCGGACCGCTCCGGCCGTGTCCGCCGCCGCTTCCCGCATCCTCTCCCGCCGCCGCCGCCTTCGCTCCTCACCATGTGTAAGGCGGCGGGGAGCCCCGCCTGAGGTGCCCTAAACACACTATGACCGGTACGTAAAGCCGAAAGAGAGCAACCCTTGCTGCTGCCGCCGCCGCTGCTGCCGCCGACCACAGCCAGCCCGGGGCCGCCGCCGCCGGTCCCGGCCCCGTGTGTGCGACCGAGTGTCTGTGAGAGGCAGAAAGCTGCACTCCCCTCCGCCTCCCTCCCTTCCCCGCCAGCTACCGTCCACCCCCGAAGCCCCAGCAACGCCGTCTCCCCGCCAGGCCCCGGGGCGGGCGGCGCGGTCCTCCGGGAGCGCATCCCCCTGTGTGCGGGCGCGGGCGGGCGTGTGTGAGTGACTGACGGTGCGAGAGGAGCGAGCGCGAGTGAGAGCGAGCGGCGCGAAGGGAAAGGGGAGGAGAGGAGAGGGGGCAGGGGCAGCGCGGGGAGGAGGAGGAGGAGGGAAAGAGGAGGAGGAGGAGGGTTACAGGCAGCGGCGGGCGGGGGCAGCAGCAGGAGGGGAGGAGGGAGCCGCCGCCGCCGCCGCCGCCGCCGGAGGGCGGGTGGGGGAGGGGAAGGGGCCTGGGTCCGGGCTTTGGGAGTAATTTCGACTCGGCCCGCGGGCCCCCTCCCTCTCCGCCACCCGCCTTCCTCCCCACCCCCACCCCCCCGCGCTGTGCCTGCAGCTCCCGAAAAGCCCGTGAAACAAGAGGAAATGGCTGCCTTGGACGTGGACAGCGGCGGCGGCGGCGGCGGCGGCGGCGGCGGCCACGGCGAGTATCTGCAGCAGCAGCAACAGCACGGAAACGGCGCGGTGGCGGCGGCGGCGGCCCAGGTGAGGAGCGGCTGAGACCCGGTCCGGCTCCCCCCTCGCGCCGCTTTCTCCTCCCCTCGCCTCTCCCCTCCCTCCTCAGTTCTCCCCTCCCTCCTCGCCTCTTCTCTCCCCTCCCCTCCGCTCCCCTCCCCCCGCCCCGGGTACTGCCCGCCCGAGGCGCCAACGCTCCGACCCCGCCCGCGCCGCCCCGCCCCGCCCGCCGCCTTTTTTGTGCGCGTGTGAGTGTGGGCCCCAGCGCGCCCTCCTGGGGGTGGGTTCCGGGCGGAAGGCGGAGGCCCGGCGCGCAGCGCGCAGCCCGCCGCCCGCCTGCCCGCGGACCGGGGAGCCGGGGTGCGTGGAGCGGGGTACGCCAGGCGGGGGCCGGCGGCGGGACCTGGAGGAGGAGGACGACGAGGAGAGCGCGGGCTGGCGCTCGCCCGGTCGCAGTCGGCGGGGACCGAGTCGCACTTCCTGTGCGATCGGCGGCCCGGCCCTAACTGCCACCCCCTCCCCCTGTCTCCCTCTCTGAACCCGCCCATCGGGGGTAGGACACTCAGCCGTCACCGCTTGCTCTGCTGGCCGCTACCTGCAGCAAGATAGGGCCGCCATCGCCGGGCGACGACGAGGAGGAGGCGGCCGCCGCAGCCGGGGCCCCCGCCGCCGCTGGAGCGGTAAGTCCCGCGCGCGGCCCGCCCCCGCCGAGGCCCGGCGCCCGCCATCCCGGGCCCGCGACGCGCCCGCCCAAAAGGCCTCCCCGGCGCCCGCGCTTCCCCCGACCCGGACGGGCCGCCGGGCTTCAGGGCGCCCTTTCCTGCTCTTTCGCATCCCTGCTTGGATCTGAAGCCAGCCCAGGCTTTCTCGAAATTGTCACTGCGGCACCTCGCACAAAATTCTTTACAAAATGAAGTCTGAGAGGGCGGGGGTGGAGGACTCCAAAATGGATGTTTGAGCAATTCATATCAGTGCTGAAAACTCCTTCGCTGAACACTACAAAATTTTCAAGCACAGCCTATCGGCCATAGATAGTATCAACTACAGGCAGTGTCTAGTTTTTAGTTTTGAACCTGGAGCATTTTCTGTTGGAAGTTACAAGATCTTACTGTTTTAAATCACACAGTATTTAAGAAATGAGGGTTTAGTCTTTGAATTACCCTTTTGTATGCAGGAGTGAACACACTTTGCCTTTTTAGTGACCATTTGAAATAATTGAATTTTAGTTTTTGCAGACTACTTAAATTTGCAGTTTTTTTTTTTTGATAAGGGGATAAGTGAAACATTTTGCAGCCTTTGAAATTAGCAAAGTTGCTTGGATAGTACTTTAGCTTTTGAAACTGTGACTGTCAGTGTTAGAAACAAAAGTATACGTAAGGCATTATATTTACACGAATACTAACAGTACTAAGAGTTGAATTTGGTGAAACTTTATTATGACTGCTAGTCAGGTAAGATGTGGGATTTTCTGTAGTGTCTGGGGCAAGGGGAAGAGCTCGCCTGTGTTATTTGGGGACTTAATACAAATAGTGTAGAAACAGTTTTTAGACTGTTGTTGCGAATTTTACATTTGGGTCGTTGTTGTTGTGTTAATGTGTAGATTTGTTCGCCTATTAACATATTGAAAACCCACTCATTTGTGTGTGTGTGTGTGTGTGTGTGTGTGTGTGTGTGTGTGTGGTGGATCATAGGAATTGATTTGTGGAGTGTTATTTTGAATAGTTACTGAAGACAGAAGTTTGGGATTTGGTATAGTCTGCAGCAAATGCTTAGTATGTCCAAGTATTTAAAAGTTAAACTGATGTTAAGCTGTTATTGGTAAATAGATATGTAATTTTAGTGCTTTGTTATAGGGGATGTGAATAGTTTTAATGTCTTGTTTTTTCATAAGATTAAGATGTAAAAATGTAAAATTATTAGACATTGTTATTTTTAAACATTTATGAATTGGTAGGCCTTCAGCTTCACTGAGGATGGGTAGACCTTTTTTAACGAACTGTATCCCTCTAGTTCCAAAGTGCCAAAACCAACTGTTTATCTTAAAAAACTACTGCATAAGTAAAATTAGAAAGTAGATTGCTTCTACTAATCTTTTTTCCATTTCTAATGGAACAGAACTTTTCTTGTAACTGTTGTTTGTAAACTTTAGATACCAGTTTACAGATGGGGGAGGGGAGAAGTAAGGAAGTATGGGTGAAAAATAAGCGTATGTACATATATATGCGAGTCTGAGGCCCAGGGATAGAGTACTGTCTCCAACCTTAGCCATCTGTGGCCATATACTTGTAGGGAAGTTGTTTTTATGCTTTTTTAGCTGCTTCTCTGAATTACCAAATTATTCCTGACAACACATTTGCTGCCAGATAAACATGAACTATAATCGATCTGATAAATCTGAGATTTACCAATCAAAAGTCATCATAATTTGCCAATCATAGTAAAATGAAAATAGTTTTGCCTTAAAAAAAAGTTTTTTTTTTTTTTTTTTTAAAATGATGCTTGGTACTTGCACACAAGATTTTTCACTTTGTGTAAAATTGATAAGACTGGCTTGAGTATATTTGTCTTGGCAAATAGAAAATTTTTTTTCCAGTGCAAATCTGAACTTAAGACATTTTTTCGTCACATCTTCAAAAAGGAAGGAAATTCACGTGAATTCATGGGCTTAGATAATAATCTTTCATTACTCAAATGACTGGGAACCATGAAAGGTTATAGCTGTGTTTTTAAGTAATTGTACTTTGCAATAATTTAAAATTTACAGAAAAGTTGGAAATACAGAACTGAGAGTTATCTCATACCCGTCATCCAGCTTCCCCTAATGTTAACCATGATACATTTGTCAAAACTAAGAAATGAACATTGGTATAATATTACTAACTAGACTTCATTTGCACTTCACCAGGTTTTCCACTGATGTCCATTTTCTCTTCTGGGATCCAGTCCAGGGTAGACAACACATTTCGTATATATTGTTTTGTTTAAACAAGTGGAAATATACACATACAGTTCAACTTTATGCCAGTTTAGCTTGGTATTTTGAGATTAAAGGTGTCCTGAAAAGCCGATCCGCTGTGCTGAAGATTGTTTTTAATATTTGGATTTTGAATTTGCCATAAAAGAGGATCCTAGCCAAGGGTGTTTGGATACCCACAGTACATTGCTGAAGAAGTTTAGTCACAAAGCAGTCTCACATGTAATGTCCTACAACATGGACTCTGAAAGATGGTTTTACAGCAAGCCTCCTTTGTACTTAAGTTGTGTGGCTAATTTTAGTAGTAAACCAGGAAATAGAAAAAAGACCTTTGTGCAAGTATTAACTTTGACCAGTTTGCGTTTATGTGAACTTGTGGATTATTAATTTACTTATTTCATTTGTACTTTAGTGGGATAAACTTAAGTGAACATTATGAAAATGATTGCCTGATCTTTGGTTTAGGTTGTAAATTTAGTGTTGCTTAGTTTGTCATATAAATGTTGGTGAGCTAAAAATCTAATGACTTCAAAAAAAGTCATTTTGCCATTATTTAAAATAAGACCTATGCTGTCATTGTAACTAATTCTTTGGGTAGGGTAATTATTTCTATTTTAAGTCTGTTTGAGTTCTTTTAGTGCTCTTTGAAGATTTAAAGAAACTTGAATATTTGCCTAAGTTCTTAGTTTGTTTCCACCTCAGCTTCACACTTGTTCTTGTTTCCAGTTATACTTTTTTCCAGTTATGCTTGTTTCCAGTTATCCTTTCCTATTTCTGGCTTTCATAAAGGCATACGTGGGAACTAAGTTAATGATCATTTCCAAATGCTATGGAATAGGTGGTGTGAATTTTTTCTTTTTCCCTTTCCAGAGGTATTTTTGTATGTAGAGAGTCTTAGGGTGCCTTAGTTACAACTTTTTACAGTACTAATGCCAACATGCATGTTAGATGTTTTGTTTGTTTTTTTGAGAAAGTCTCCCTTTGTTTCCCAGGTTGGAGTGCAGGGGCGAAGTTATGGCTCACTGCAACCTCCACCACTGGGACTCAATTGATCCTCCCACCTCAGCCTCCCTGGTAGCTGAGACTGTAGGCACGTGCCACCACACCTGGCTAATTTTTGTGGAGATGGGGTTTCCCCATGTTGCCCAGGCTTGTCTTGAACTCCTATACTCAAAGGATCCACCCATCTGGATTTTGTTTGTTAATTGTCCAGTAAGAATATTAGGTACTGAGAGAATCACTGGTGGATTTTTAATTTAGTTCGTAAACTTATGTAGACATAAGTTATGTAGTGGATTATCTTGCCTCTAAACCAAATACTAACTCTTGGTTGCCTGTTTTAATTTATTTTTATTTTTATTTTTTTGAGACTGAGTCTTGCCCTGTCGCCCAGGCTGGAGTGCAGTGGCACAGTCTTGGCTCACCGTGACCTCCACCTCCCAGGCCCGAGGCATTCTGCTGCCTCATCCACTGAGCAGCTGAGCTTACAGGTGCCACGCCCGGCTAATTTTTTTTGTATTTTAGTAGAGATGGGGTTTCACCATGTTGGCCAGGCTGGTGTCGAACTCCTGACCTTGTGATCAGTCCGCTTCTGCCTCCCAAAGTGCTGGGATTACAGGCATGAGCCATCGCGCCTGGCCGTGGTTGTGTTTTTAAATCTCTTTTTCTTTTGATAGTGTTTCCAGTAGTCTGACACAGAATATTTTTCATACTTTTTTGTTTTTTTAGTCTCAGATGATTTTCTAATGTATTCCTTTCCCATTTGGTATTTAGTGTACTTTATCTCTTTCAGTGGTGTATTCTGATGAAATTTCTTTTTACAAATGATTATGCTTTACAAGGCTTTATAGTTTTGAAATATTTGGGGCTGATGCATTGTGGAATTGTGGAAATAAATAGGTTTAAAATTGGTTTAGACTTTTTCATAGAAGGCTCTTAATATCTCGAAATTTGTTTTGATCCATTGTGTCATTGTGTTTGCAATGATTTTAAAGTAAAGTAACTATTCATTGAGTGAATATATATTGATCTTACTCTTTGTTGGGAATTGTGCTAGGCATTGAATGGATGTTTTTCAAATTTATTCTCATAATCTTAGTAATCACAATGATTTTGGGATTGCACAGTGCTCAATAGTTTATAAAACTTAATGTTTTTCTGTGGTTCTTATGACCCTGCACGGTAATGTTTTTCTGGTTGTTGACATGGGAAAATTGAGTTGATCTTACACAATTCCACAGTGTAGTCAGAACTAGAACTCAGTTCTGAGTTCTTTTCTTTCTAGTATAATATGTTTTTCTCTGTCAGGCATAGTTTTAGCATAAATCATCCAGTAGTTTTCTGATTTTTTTTCTCCATTTCATTTAGAAAATAGGGTGTTTAGCAAATTTTTTTTTTAAACTGCAAATTCATTACCTTAAAAAAGTCCCTTTTCTTGCTTGATTCTTTTACTTAAATTATCTGTTGCTTTTTGTTTTCATCTTTGTGTCACAGGTATTTTATATGCTTTTCGTTTCCTGCTTATTCAGAAAAGTTCTGAACAAATCACTTTGCTCTAGGTTTGGAGATTTTCCTTCAATTAATGGCCTAAATTGCTGGGATAAATGGAACCACAGTTTATTTTTATCTAGTTTCTGGAGAGGGGGTGACTTGGGCAGTATTTACTCAGATTTGTCATTTGAGTAGTTGTGTTTTATTTTCAAGGAATTTCTTGACTAGAAAGCCGTTCAGTGATGGTTGAATACCTGCCTTTATTACTATTTTGTAAAAAAAACCCAACAACTTTAGATGCTGTAAATTTGACTTTTTCTTTTAAAGAAAGGAGACAGGACAAAATGCCAGTATTACAAAATTAATTTGTGTCTGAATTGCTATATTCTTCGATAAAAGTTCAATACTTGTAAATTTAATGCTAGTCAGAAAAAAATTTCAGTGGATTCTTCAGGTGAGCGATAACCTTAAGATAAAGATTGGATCTTAGACGCTTTAGTGTAGATTTAGTATATAGATTTAAATATTTGTAGTTTACTTAAAATGCTGAGAGACTGAAATGATGCATGATTTGTCACTGTAATGTTAGGAAAGGTAATTTAACCTTGTAATTTCTGTACCAGATTGAAGTTGCAGAATGACATGTGACTTTAATGTCTGATGCTTTGTTTTAAAATAGTTTAGTAAGTGTAATTTAAGTGTATGTAAGACAGATTACTGTTTTAGTTCAGGCCTAGAGATTTGTATTGGGTCTCACAGTTTCTCAGCCTTTAGTCTCTTCTGCTTTTCAGTCTCCTTCACTGAGCCTTAGTTTATCTTTATAAAACACAGATGTGATTGCACCACTCACTTGCTTATAAATCTTTTATAGCTTTCATTCACTGTCTGCAGGATAAAGTCCAAACAATTTAGTGGGATCTGTGAAGCCATTTACAAGCCTTGATAAAAATGTCTAGTCCTGTTCCCCTTTACTCTTCTCTCTGAATATGGGCCTTTTTGGGGCCTTCTCTTCAACTCCAAACTTCGTATTATTATTTAGGGTTTCTTTCTTTCTGTGATTTTGTTTCTGTGCCTTTATTAATGCCTCTTTTTAAATTGACTATAGTACAGTCTTACATTTTATTCTAATACTAGTTTAAAATACCTCTAATGAAATCTTTTTTTCAGTCTTGTATCTTCCACAGAGTGTTTTTGATCATATGACTACTGTATGCTAATTTTCACGTTGTATTATCATGGACGTGTGTATGTTTGCTTGGATTTACAGTGAACCATTTGAAGATAGGAATTGTATGTCATGGTTTACTCACATGTGTGTTTCATCTTGGTAGATTATGTTCAAATGTTGTAATTGAGTCATTTAACTGGTTCATTCACTGAAATATTGTATATACTTTTCAATTATGTCTTCATGAAAATTAGGTAGTGAGTTTCTTTAATTGAAGATTTTTTTTGTTTGTCATATTTGCATTAAGTTTTATGGAATGGTTTATGTTGGGAGAACTCTATATGTCTTTACTGATATTTGTAGTCATGGACTCCCATTGAGAATTTGATGAAACCCTAGATTACCTTTCTCCCTTTCAAATTGTGTTAATACTTTGTCAGAAAGTTGGCATGCTGTTTTAAAGGGCTTCCTTGAATTGAAGCCCAGTTGCGGATCTTAGATTGGCAGTGCGGGGCTAGATATGCTTATGTTTCCATTGTCTAATGATTTGGGGAGTTAACTGAACTCACAGATAGATCTAGAAGGAAGTAGGAGAAGGATGGCTTTATTTTGATAGTAAATTATATAGGTTTTATTTCCTATGTCTTTGCCATTGGTCTTGGGGGTAGGTATGACACAGACATGATATGGTGTTTAAGGGCCTGGGTTTTAGAGTCAAGCTTAGCCTAGTTTTAAATCCTGTCTTGTCTGTTTGATAGCTATGTGATTTTTGTCCCTCAGTTTTCTCAGCTATGAAATAGGGATAATATCTGTCTCATAGGATTGTTTTAAGGAGTAAATTACATAATCCTGTAAACCTCTCTCATAGTTCTTGGCATATAAAAGCTTAAATGTTAAACATTATTGCTATTATTTTCCTAAAAAAAAAAAAATCTCTTGGCATTGACATGTAGGGTTTTATTGCTTTCTGCTTTTTTACATTGGATTTTTTTCCAGTCTTGTCTAATCCATAAACTGTGGGGATGATAACTGAACGTCTTGCAGGTCCAGAAGCATACAGACTTGTTGCTTTACCTACTATTCTAAGTTTGCAGGGTAAATGCAAGGCTTACACCAGAATACAAAAAATACATGCCAGGTATTCTACTGCAAACTTAGAATAGTAGGTAGAGCCACAGTGTGTATGCTGCAGCTTCTGATTCTAGAGAAGCCTTTCAAATGGGGCTGTGTGGTCATGCGGTCCCAGGGCAGTGACCTTTTCTCATTAAGTTTTTTTAAGGTCTTTATTTTTTAATAGTTGACAGAAAAAATAAAGAGTTTGATAGCTTGCTAATGGGATAGTCCTAGCCATGAGTTTACTTTAGAGTATGTTAATACATGCCACAAAGGAGTAGATTTAATTGTTTGATTTTAAGTTTATAGCAATAATAAATAATGTCTTTTCTAACTCAATGACAATACACTATACTAATGTTTCCTTTTTATACACAAATATAACACACCTGATTCAGTCATAGCCATCTTTGCTTTTTTTTTTTTTTTTTTTTTTAACTGTACAGTGTTAGAGATCATAGATGCAGGATTAGAAGATTGGTTTGTGGTTGTGATGAACATGCTGAGAATTTTTTTTTTATTCCGCTCAAATAGGATGAATTGTCTTTGCAGTAACAAAGCTGGAAGTGATAATTATTGTAGTTCATATAGTACTGTACTTACTGATTTTGAACTCTACTGTATTTTAAGATAAGTTGAATTTTCAGGTAGTAGGATTTATACCAGTTTTTTGAATGTTTTGAGAGTTGGTTTAAATATACCACAAATATATCACATTTTTGTTTTCTTCATCCAGACAGGTGATTTGGCTTCTGCACAGTTAGGAGGAGCACCAAACCGATGGGAGGTTTTGTCAGCCACACCTACAACTATAAAGGATGAAGCTGGTAATCTAGTACAGATTCCAAGTGCTACAACATCAAGTGGGCAGTATGTTCTTCCCCTTCAGAATTTGCAGAATCAACAAATATTTTCAGTTGCACCAGGATCAGATTCATCAAATGGTACAGTGTCCAATGTTCAATATCAAGTAATACCACAGATTCAGTCAACAGATGGTCAGCAGGTTCAAATAGGTTTCACAGGCTCTTCAGATAATGGGGGTATAAATCAAGAAAGCAGTCAAATTCAGATAATTCCTGGTTCTAATCAAACCTTACTTGCCTCTGGAACACCTCCTGCTAACATCCAGAATCTCATACCACAGACTGGTCAAGTCCAGGTTCAGGGAGTTGCAATTGGTGGTTCATCTTTTCCTGGTCAAACCCAAGTAGTTGCTAATGTGCCTCTTGGTCTGCCAGGAAATATTACATTTGTACCAATCAATAGTGTCGATCTAGATTCTTTGGGACTCTCGGGCAGTTCTCAGACAATGACTGCAGGCATTAATGCCGATGGACATTTGATAAACACAGGACAAGCTATGGATAGTTCAGACAATTCAGAAAGGACTGGTGAGCGGGTTTCTCCTGATATTAATGAAACTAATACCGATACAGATTTATTTGTGCCAACATCCTCTTCATCACAGTTGCCTGTTACGATAGATAGTACAGGTATATTACAACAAAACACAAATAGCTTGACTACATCTAGTGGGCAAGTTCATTCTTCAGATCTTCAGGGAAATTATATCCAGTCGCCTGTTTCTGAAGAGACACAGGCACAGAATATTCAGGTTTCTACAGCACAGCCTGTTGTACAACATCTACAACTTCAAGAGTCTCAGCAGCCAACCAGTCAAGCCCAAATTGTGCAAGGTATTACACCACAGACAATCCATGGTGTGCAAGCCAGTGGTCAAAATATATCACAACAGGCTTTGCAAAATCTTCAGTTGCAGCTGAATCCTGGAACCTTTTTAATTCAGGCACAGACAGTGACCCCTTCTGGACAGATAACTTGGCAAACGTTTCAAGTACAAGGGGTCCAGAACTTGCAGAATTTGCAAATACAGAATACTGCTGCCCAACAAATAACTTTGACGCCTGTTCAAACACTCACACTTGGTCAAGTTGCGGCAGGTGGAGCCTTCACTTCAACTCCAGTTAGTCTAAGCACTGGTCAGTTGCCAAATCTACAGACAGTTACAGTAAACTCTATAGATTCTACTGGTATACAGCTACATCCAGGAGAGAATGCTGACAGTCCTGCAGGTGAGTCTTAAGTTATGTCATACCATAAATGAGTTCAGTGATAATACATAGAGGGAAATTTTTTGCTTTAGGTGTTTATCAGCATCAGGCTCACATTAGGGGTAATGATCAATGTTTGTATGAAAATATGTTTGTTGAAAGTAGACATGAAAGTATCTTCCAAATTGTTATTTGAAAATTTGTAGCTTTTGAAGTTAGGGATTCATTTTTCTATCATGCCAATTACATTTGTAGTTTTTTTTTTTTTTTTTTAAACAACTTTATATTTGTTTTGACATCTGATTGATATTATCCGTCATTATAAAATTTTTATTTGGCAGGTAGAGTGTCTTGATTGGCCTTAGTGTGATGTCAATTAAAAATTTTTTGCATTCTATTTGGTTGAGGATCAGGTTGGTATAGTGAAAACATGGTATAGGGAGTAAAGACTACTTATATGCCTTAGCCACTTGTTAGGTGTGTGATTTTGGTTATTTTTCTCTTGTAAACTCAGTTTCCTCGTTGTGTAAAATGGAGGTGTTGGACTAGGTAACTGTCTAGGTGAAGGTCACCTTCCAGACCAAAAATTCTTTGATTCTGTGATGGGAGCATTAAACTTAGCTGTGCTAGAAATAGTTATTGGTAGTATGAGTAGATATTTCAGAAGTCTACTCTTATAGTTGTATAAGAATTAAATAATAAAGTTTAAAAAGAGATAATGTCGTTTTTACCCTATCAATGTGGTCTGTCTACATAACATTTGAATGTTTTGTTGTGCACTAAATACTGAACGTAATTACTTTTAATTCTATTTTGTATTTGAATTTCTGTGGAGATTGTACTGTTAGTCTTTCACTGCGTCAGTGATTCTAAATTCTTAAATTTGGAGATTTTAACTGAACTGATTGAAATAACTCCCATCACCATTTAGAGATTACCTTTTTTCTTTTGAGAAATTTGTGATACATGCTTAGAAAATTGGAATGGTCTTAGAACCTCAGATCTGTATTTGGAAATCCTTTAATTGCATTTGAGCCTTCTGAGGCTGTGATGCTGTGGTGATTTTTGTTGTTGTTTTGAGATGTAGTCTCACTCTATAGCCCAGGCTGGAGTGCAGTGGCACAATCTCAGCTCACTGCAACCTCCACATCCTGGGTTCTGGTTCAAGCAGTTCTCCTACCTCAGCCTCCCAAGTAGCTGGGATTATAGGCATGAGCCACCATGCCCAGCTAATTTTTGTATTTCTTAGTAGAGACGGGCTTTCACCATGTTGGCCAGTCTGGTCTTGAACTCCTGACCTCGTGATGTGCCCACCTCGGCCGCCCAAAGTGCTGGGATTACAGGTGTGAGCCACTGTGCCCGGCCGCTGTGATGATTGTTTTAGGGGTTGGGATTAGGATTTCTGAAGCTGGTTTAGAGCAGTAGTTTTTTTTGTTTGTTTGTTTGTTTTGAGTTAGAGTCTCTGTCACCTAGACTGAAGGGCTCACTGCAACCTCTGCCTCCTGGGTTCAAGCAGTTCTCATGCCTCAGCCTCCCGAGTAGCTGGGATTACAGGTGCACACCACTATGCCTGGCTACTTTTTTTTTTTTTTTTTTTTTTT